GGTAATATTTAATTTTTTGGTTTACAACTATTTATTTGCTCTGTAATAATAAATACATTGAGCTCCTTTTGTGGATCAGTTCTAATATTTTATATTACGACTGTCCACTTGGATTATATACCAATGGATTTATTACCTTTACAATCTATCTCTTTCTCTAACTCACTCTCTCTCTCCTTCTCTCTCTCTCTCTCTCTGTATATATATATATATATATATATATATATATATAGTATGAATGTTGGAATTAACATTGCATGGTGTCAGTCCTCACATACACGTATGCACATACACACACATTCTGTCACTCTCTCTCTCTCTCTCTCTCTCTCTCTCCTCTCCCTCTCTCTGTCAATGTTTCTCTGTCACTATATACATATATTTAGAGAGAGGGAGGGAAGAGAAAGATTTTTATATACATATATATATATATACATTTAGGTAGTAAGAATTCGTTTAAATAACTTTTCTCAAATTAAGCAAACAAGTTTTTTCTGCTTAATTTTTACTAAATTGTTATAACTTATTGGAAAATTAGAAAAATACAATAAAATTTAAGCAAACAGACCTTGCCGTTTGACTTTAACGCAATATATATATATATATATATATATATATATATATATATATATATATACACATTTATGTATGTGTGTAGTTGTACAATAAATTACCATATATCTTAAAATCAAGACTGACTGTAGTAGCTTTAGGGGTAATTTTTTTCTTTTTTATTTTGTCTTTTACAGTCTCCAATATTTAATCATTATGGATATATTTTATTCCTTCTGAACATTTGACAAAAAATATCCATGGCGTGTCCTTTTATGATTAAATGATTTTTTTTAATTTTATTTTTATCACTATTTGCCTTTTTCGTTAAATTTCCAGATAATAAGCAAATTTCTTCTCTTCTTACACAATGCTATGTAGAAATGTTTTTTTTTTTTTAAAAAAAATCAAATCGTGCCGCCATATTGTCTCGTGTAAAATGTCAAATATTTTCAAAGAGAAACAAAGAAAATTTCCATGTTTTTTTTTAGTTTCTTTAAAAACTGCATACATTTCAAGGATTTATTGCCAGTGTTTATTGAGAAATTTGAATTTCCTCTATTTTGTAGATATATTTTTATTGATACATACAAACATATTACCATATTCGCATTAGTGTAACTTTTGCCTTAATTCCTGACCACTAACAATCCCTTTCTTCTTGATTTCCAATGCTTTTCTATCTCAGTGTCCCTATGAGTTGCCGATTAAAAAATTCTCATATTGGATCAGTTCATTTCAGCATATCCTTTCGGCCATATTTTATAAGTCTGTTTATTTGCATGCGAAAAATGCATGAATAAATCCCCCCTCCCCGGAGTATATATTTAGAACCGTCTAGTGTAGCAGTAATGGTCGCATCTGTTCATCTTATGTTGTTGAAATGGACTGATCAGGTTAGTGATTTCGCCAATTTCCAAATAGATATTTTTCCGACTGATCTAAGTAAGGCTCAAGAACTAATTAGTCGAAACATTATTTTAAAACTAACGACACAAAAATGTAGCCGAATTGTCAGAAGCAAATTTTTAAAATGCTGTATTCTTGAAATAAAAGAAAAAAATATTGCAACCATACACAAAAAGAGAGAAAAAAAACACTTTTATGACAAAACCAAACAACAGACTGCGTGCACCAACGACCCTCGGATGTTAAAATACATTATTATATTGCATTGTATAAATTAATGAATTCATTATCTATAAATAGGGCGTTGTTTGAGTTTTATTGTAAATTGTGCACAGAACAGCATATTGACTATTGAACTAGTGGACCCACTTTGGACATGTGGCAGTTGATTCCGTCAGAGAACCCCCACCCCTACTGCCACTCTGACTTCAGTGTAGGAAGCCCTCTACCCAGTGGTACTGATTTACTGATTGATAGATGGCCATTGACCCTACAAGAAGGCTCATCCGCTCCTTGATTGGTCATGTTAAGAATCCTTCTGGGTGTCTAGCCACCCGTCCTCACCAAAAATGCCTAGCGGAGGAACCGGATTTAGTCGTCGATGGTCTGACTATGCGACAGTTCCTACGGTTTCTGTAATGAGAATGATTATGATGATGCTGATCAGGGGCTCAAGATGGATTTCATGACAAATCTAAAGGGATCTCATAGCACTAATGTAAGAGCAAGGGTAACAGAACTGGATTTATGTCTTTTCCAAAACGTAATATTGCAAAATAAGCGGAAACTGTCCCAGTCAGCAATGGAACCCATTTCCCCGACTTCGTATGTTGCGTTAAGCTACGTGCACCCCTATCGACCTATATGTTGCACTTGACTACCAAACCCAGGAATTGAACTGACAACAGGACGGGAACAAGATATGTTTTAACAAACAGTTTAATTCAATAAGCAATGTGTCGAAATTCTAGTCTGAAACGTCATATCTTTATTCAGAGCTGCATGAGCAACTGACTCAGATGGTAGAATTTTTATCTTTATTTTTTCTAATGTCTTTCATACTTAATATTGTAATCATCTTTATGCTAAATCTACTGAGATTGTCAGTGTACAGAATTTTTCAATCGTCTTATCATCCAGCGTCGTTCATAATTATCTCAGTTCTATTACAGGGGAGTTAATGATCATCTAACTCTCATTCGTATATGATCCGCCATGACAGATTTCTGTGTTTCTCACCGGACACCAGCTTTTAATGTTCCTCAAACCATACATTTCGGGGACTAAAGGGATCTCATAGCACTATAGTAAGAGAACTGGATTCATGTCTTTTCCAAAACGTAATATTGCAAAATAAGCGGAAACTGTCCCATGGACTTATATGTTGCTCTTTATGGCAAATATTTTGAAGAGTTGCATTCCTTAGTTCCACCAGTCCAGACATTTATAGCTACGTATAGGGGATCGAATCATTCCCATTGCCTTCGTATTCCATTTGTAAGAAGGAAGTTCCATTGGGGCAGCTTATTCGCAAGAATCGCTATTTTGTGGAAAGAACTCCCGAGAGGATGCTTCCTCGATCATTATAATCATAACCTCTTCAAGTCGAGGGTTGGCCACTATGTTTATATATATATATATATATATATATATATATATATATATATATCCTCATAAACTGCAAACTTCTTATCTCATGCTCGTCCATAAAAGCAACACCATTCAAAAACGATCTACCTTGGATGGCTCTCGGGCCTTGCCTTTGTGAAAAATTAGTAAAAAAAATCATACATTAATTATTTTACGCAAATATAGTAGGAAGGCTTTATTTTAAACATTGCATCTTTTTTATTTAGAAAAATAAAATCTGTATCAATTTTTCGCTCGTTTTATCTTCATCTTCAGAAAGACGAACATGCAAAGAATATCAAGACAGGAATATCATACTGCGCCAATCTTCTAAAAATAGAAAGACCTACCGGCCTTTTAAATGGAATCGAACACCGCACACTGATACTGATGAGAGGGATGAAACTATCTTACCCACAATGCATTCTAGTTCTTTATTTGATTTTGGTAAAATTCCTCTGGGTAGATGCCCATAAATTTAAAAACAATCATGCAAAACCGGAGACTGGAAACATAAATCATATATTCAAACAGCAAAACAACATGAAGAATCATTACGATATCATTCTCATCGTATCTTCATTTCTTCTACCGTCTTAAAGTGTCGGTGTTCGTACTTGGTAACATTCTTGTTTCGTACCGAACCATTCGAATGAGAAATCAGAGAGCCGAGTTCGAATTACAGTCGGGTTCGTTATATTCAGTTACGCGTAAGTAACCTTAGGAAAAGTATAAATCCAGCTATGAGCTGAATAGTAGTGTAGACTGGGTCCTATAGCTCTGGTTGGCAACAAGTCTAACGCATAAAAAAACGGCAGCATACTGCAGGAAAATCTTCCGTTAATTAGTCATAAATTGAAAAAGATATTATTGCCTAAGAGATCACATATGGTACTTAATGACTGGATGAGACTTTCACTTGATCTATATACTAACTTGGTGTAGAATTTCGTTTCTGCCCGGGAAGTTAAAAATAATATTTAAAAAAAAACAGTTCATCCCCGACCCTAAATAGTATCTCTTCATCCGGAAGTAGCTGGGGATATTACCCGACGTCTGAGGTGTCCCAAAAATGACTCAGATGGTAGAAATGTTATCTTTATTTTTCGAATGTCTCTCATACTTAATAAAGAATCTCATTGTAATCATCTTTATGCTAAATCTACTGAGATTGTCAGGGTACGGAAATTTTCAATCGCCTTATCATCCATCGTCGTTCATAATTATCTCAGTTCTATTACAGAGGAGTTAATGACTACCTAACTCTCATTCGTATATGATCCGCCATGACAGATTTCTGTGTTTCTCATCGGACAACAGCTTTTAATGTTCCTTAAACTATAACTTTCAGGGACGGGTAGCCTCACCTTTCTATTTATTGTCTGTCTGTATAGGATGAAAAACACACACTTCTTGTCAATATTTTTGCTACGAGGGATCATGGTTTGGAATTATATCTATCTATATATATATATATATATATATATATATATATATATCATCTTCCTAAAAAACGACTGACAAGGTCCTGCGGTTAAGTTTTTTATTTAATTTTTCTTGTACTCTTTTCGGCTTATTAATTACATAAGAATATAATAAAATCATCCTTGATAATGGATATAAAAATATCCAAATGCGCTCGGAAATAGAGAACATTCAGAGAATTGCTATATAATTTATGTTCAGAAAAGAAAAAATGAAATAAATAAAACAATATATATATATATATATATATATATATATATATATATAATGTAATGCGACCTATTGATCTATGTAAAATGATATCATTCAATGCATGTAAATGTGAACAGAATTTCTGTCAATAAAGGTGCGTTATAATTATCTAGATAAATAATGATTGCATAAGATGACAGCGAAGTTCCCATTCTTTATCGGTGGTCACTTATTCATTCGTCTCGTTTCTTGTCTGGGTCCTGACCTGTGAGAAATGGATAGATAGAAATGACCAGACTAAGATAGATAGATAGATAGATAGATAGATAGATAGATAGATAGATAGATAGATAGATAGATAGATAGATAGATAGATAGATAGATAGATAGATAGATAGATAGATAGATAGATAGATAGATAGATAGATGCATAGATAGATAGATAGATAGATATGAACAGATGAGATAGATAGATAGATAGATAGATATAGATAGATAACAACAGACTGAGATAGATAGATAGATAGATAGATAGATATGAACAGACTGGAATAGATTGATAGAAATGACCCGACTGAGATAGATAGATAGATAGATAGATAGATAGATAGATAGATAGATAGATAGATAGGTACAAGAATACACAAACAGGTAACACATTGATTGCACTGCAGATAATCACAATTGTTTTTGTAGAGGAGTCTGAAAATCCTTTGCAAAATATCTTCATCGAATATTAACATTTCCATGCCTGAATTCATTCTTATAATTTGACAGATGATGCATTTTCGCCGAAAGCATATACACACTTTTTATCCTATTCTATCAACGCTCATCGTTAGCACTTATCTACAATTGACATGGGTTTAGTTCGTTCGTAAATAAGCTCGTCTGTTCCACAATATGTGTGCTATTAGCGCGCATGCGTGTAACTCAAAATTATTGCTTTCTGGTGCACTGTAGCTGTTTCATTTCTGCCATTTTATGTCTGGTTGGCGCTGATATTCCATCGCTACTAACATCCGGTGAACTTAGAAAATGGCCGAAAAATCATTCCCTGCCGTGGGTATCTTCCTCAAATCCGGAAGTCAACATGTTTCTTTGAGCGGGCACTGAATTCATTCCCCTTAACGGCGTAGCTTGTTTGTTTTTTTTACTTCGTTATACATTGAAGTCAACACTTAGAGGCGACAGGCTGTTTCATGCTAGACGCAATCGTCAGGCCACGAGTGTGTTTTTTTTTTCTCCGCCATTTATTTTGCCGGAAGTCGTTTATTTGTTTATTTATTTATTCATTTGGGTTAAATTATTTTACTTGTTTTTATTTATTTTTATTTTTTATTCTTATTTCTTCTACGCCAGTGAGCGAAATAAAGTGTTCAGTTCGACATTCCAAGCACCTGAAGAAGTCTGGAGCGTAAAACGGTCGAAACGTTGTGATAAACATGGCGACAAAAATGAGGACAATAGTCCGAATAATGTAAATAGTGTACATAATCCTCATCTCACAAATATCGACAGATACTGAAAGGCCGAAACGTTGTAATAAATATGGCGACAAAGATGAGGGCAATAGTCCGAATAATGTAAATAGTGTACATAATACCTCATCTCAGAAATATAGACAGATACTGAAAGGCCGAAACGTTGTAATAAATATGGCGACAAAGATGAGGACAATAGTCCGAATATTGTAAATAATGTTCGTACACTTGTTTTATATTATTTATAAGATTAGCCAAATACTGCTCTTTATCCATAATACCTGTACACTCATTATTTCTCCTTGCCTAGAAACATCCCCAGAGCAGAATGTGCCCCACACCATGCTTAATTGTAGAGAGAGTATTTTTTGATTTGCGAGCTTCATTCATTCCCCACCCCCTTACACAGGTGTTCATATAACCAAATAATTCTAGTTTGGTTTCATCTGACCATAAAACAGAGTTCCAATATTTAATCCCATGTTCTAGATGGCTTTTAACATAAGCTAATCTGTATTTATGTGTTTAGCCTTAAGTAAGTTTTCCTTGGACGAAAAGCTCAAAGTTCTGCTCAATGTCCTACTCGATGAAAACTAGTGACTGTCTTCGTCAATACATTCAACCCTGATATATTTATAACATTAACAATGGCCTTTGTCGTTAAGTGAGAATTCTTCGAGTCAACTCTAATAATTTTCCTTTCCATTCTCTCAGAAATTAACCGTTTTCTGCTATTCTATAATTTATTCTCAACATCATGAGTTTCGTTGAGATAATGCTATGACCTGTCGATCTAGGAACGCTTGAAATTTTTAAATTCTTCTATGGCACTGCGGTATTAAAATGACTTTGAGGACAATGTCTACCCCCTCATTATAGTCAATTGTCTTGATACAAAGTTGAAAAACTGAAATAATTATTTGCAGATATTTGGATGAGAAAAAGTGCAGGGTAACAGTTTTGAGGGCGCATTTTGCGTTGGTGTTTATCAGTCCGACTTATTTCCTATCTTGTTTTATTTTATCCTCCCCAAACAACAATAATACTGACTATTTGCTGCCTCGAATTTGTTGGTTTCTTGGTTGGCTGATTCGATTTTATGGTTATAATCCATTTGCAGGTAATTGAAACCAGAAAATAATTTTAGATTGTAAGAATTTTATTTAAAGAGAGATAATAATGTTTTAGTGATACAATAATTAACCCATAGCTGGGGGTAGAAGAGGTGGATTCATACCTTTCCCCAGATTATTTGCTCGTAAGTGAATATAACGAATCCAATGGAAAATAGAACTCGGCTCTCCGATTAACAATTCCGAACCAGTATTCATTACACCACCGCACATCCATGATTATAGCACCTGATATTCATACGCGGTCACCCAGTTAGGCATTGACCGGGTCCAATGTGATTTGGCCGTAAGCCTTGTAATTTGTAGAAAGAAAGAAATCAAAAAAGGAAGAAAGAAAGAAAGAAAGAAAGCAGTCAAGCAAGAAAGAAATAACACAAGAAAGAAAGAAGGAAAGCAAAAAAGAAAAAAAGAAAGAAAGAAAGCTGTAAAGAAAGAAAGAAAGAAAGAAAGAAAGAAAGAAAGAAAGAAAGAAAGCTGTAAAGAAAGAAAGAAAGCAGTCAAGCAAGAAAGAAATAATACAAGAAAGAAAGATGGAAAGCAAAAAAGAAAGTTGTAAAGAAAGAAAGAAAGAAAGAAAGAAAATGAAAACGATAGGAAGTAGAAGAATAACAGAATAATATAAGGAGAAAAAGAAAATGAATTACATTATGTAAAAAAGAAAGAAAGAAAGAAAGAAAGAAAGTAAGAAATCAGGCAGGCCAAAAAGAAACAAAGAAAAAAAAAAGAAATAAAAGGAAACAAAAAAGAAAGAAAGAACGAAAGAAAGAAAGAAAGAACGAAATAGAGAAAGAAAGAATGAAATAGAGAAAGAAAGAATGAAATAGAGAAAGAAAGAATGAAATAGAGAAAGAAAGAAAGCATGAAAGAAAGCAAGAAAGAAAGAAATGAGACAGAAATTAAAACTGCATTTTGCAATTACATAAAACGTCCGCTTGATTATTAGGTATCTACAAAGTCCTCAAAATCCCGAGCACGTGGCTCAGAGTAGATGAGGTATAAACATTAGAAAGCAAATCGTATCTGTTTTCATTCCTACCGTCTTTCCATGCACCTGCGTCACCGAAATACAAGGTACCCCCTCCCAAATGTTGACATCATTTAAAATAGGAATATCTGAGTAACTACATGTCCCTGGTAAGGATGTAGATTTTATAACTAATTTCACAAAGCTTTAAAATGTTCCATATACGCACCACCTGTGACACGACACATATCAAGACAGTAGTCCAGCTCCTGCCAAACACGTTGTAGCATGTCTTGTGTAACATTCTCCAGACCATCAGTGATTCTCTGCTTAAGATTCTCTAGGCTTGATGTTAGCGGGGAATATAGACCCGTTCTCTCATATAGCTCCATTGAAAAAACACATCAACTGTCAAGTCACGTGAATGCGATGAATATTTCAACAGCACATCGTCATTATCACTGGCACACCTGATCCATCATACTGGTAAATTCTTATTGCAACTATTGATATATGTAATTTAATGTACGTCAAGGAGAATAGAATTTCGTCAATAAAAAATTATTATATATATATTGATTAATACTTATTACTAACAAAAAAGAAGTACTATTTATCTCGCCCCGACGAAATGTTTCACGGTGTTAACGCTTGTCATGTTCAGATGTTTGTTATCTGAATCCGAGGGGCGATAACATTGTGACTCTTAGTCAGTCATAGATAAGTAGCTTGAACTTTATAATATATATATATATATATATATATATATGTGTGTGTGTGTGTGTGTGTGTGTGTGTGTGTGTGTGTGTGTTTGTGTGTGTGTGTGTGTGTGTGTGTGTGTGTGTGGAAATTAAAATCGCAATTTTTCATCTCTATTTTAATATTCTTTCGTTTTTATTATTATTTCATTTAGATTCCTCGACTAGTTTCGGCCAACATGGCCATCATCAGGAGAAAAAAAATTCTGCTTGCTGGTAGCAGTGAACTACAGAAATGAATGTCTCGATGGAGAAAATTAACTTTTGTCTGTAGTTTTCATTTGTTTTTTTTATTTTTTAACATGAATTTTGGTCAGACCTTGTGTTGGTCAAACAGTCTCTTTTAAGTTGTTATTTGAGATAGATTCATGCTGATCTGAATTGCCTTGGTCATTTTGAAAGGGAACGTGTCTCTGTTAAGTGTGTGTGTGTTATTTGGGTCTTAGGGAGTGAGTGAGTATGATATGTGTAAACGTGTGTATTGCTGTAGGTGTGTGTTATCATTTGGCTCATTAGGGAGTGAGTGAGTATGAAGTGTGTATATTCGTGTGGGTGTGTGTATAAGTGTGAGGCCTCAACATCTCCGTTAGCATGTCTGTCTTGTGTGGGTGAGAAATGTGGGTAGGTTTTGATTTGTAGGGTTATATATTAATACTGTCTGGATTGTTAGATTTATCGTTAAGCCCGACTGGATAGTGCGTTTTTAAACGTTGTATCCACTTATTTTCATGGAAGTCTAAAATCTTTCTAATGTTTTAAGACCAAAAAACTGTCTGCCTAAATATATATATATATATATATATATATAGTATTAAATTTTATATTTTAGGTGCTAAAATTGGTGAGTTTTTATATATACATATATATATATATATATATATATAGATAGATAGATAATAGATAGATAGATAGATAGATAGATAGATAGTTTTAAATTTATACAATATATATTATATATTTATATAGTGTATATTTATATATAATAAGAGCTGGATGGATTCATTCTGCTCTGTGCGTATATATATATATATATATATATATATATATATATATATATATAAACATTTTGACAATGGACTGCAATCGTAGTAGAAAAAAGATCAGGCCGAAAATGAATGATAAAATCGAAGGCCCTTTGGGTAAGACGCTGCTGAGAATGGAACAGTATCATCAGAAAATTGTTAACGAATAGCCTTTTATCGTAAGTAGCACCGTATGGCTGTTGATTTCGAAAAGATGCAGATGAACACTGTCTCTCCTCACTCTCACTGTCTTTCTCTCTCTCTCTCTCTCAATATATATATATATATATATATATATATATATATATATATATATATATATATATATAGGTATGCATGTAAAGTGAATAGGAAAACTGTAATAGTTGCCAACGCGTTTCGTTCGATGTGGACTTTTCTATGCAAAAACGAAGTGGATTTATTAAACAAAGTATCTAATAATAACAAAACAAAATGTCCTTAGCAACTGGAAGAATTTAGAGAACGCTATTTTCATACTGTTAACTGAAATTCCGTCAATTTCTGTGGAGATGTTTTTATTGCTGTGTTGACGGATTCAACCATTTTCTTTTGATTTCTTGATACTGTTCTGTACGTTTGTTTGGGAGAGAAGTAATTCTGTTAAGAAAGGTGAAATAGGGAGAAGGCCTGGGCGTAATATTAATATTTGGGTTATTCGAATATTCAATTTATGTGTGTAGCAAAATCAAAATTAGGATTTATTCGATGTTATATTCTTTTTATGCTCATAATGTTTCTACTTGTATATTGGGAGGAAATAGTTTAAAATCAAAAAATTGTGGGTGAATTTATTTCTATATATGACTAGTACATTTAATAAATTGTTTTTTTCTCCAGGTTACTGAGAAATTTTTGCTCATAAATGAAATTTTTAAAATTTTCTACTTAGATTCGATAGATATATTGATAGATAGATAAATAGGAAGATAGATTTTGATAATGAAAATTATTTCATAATAAAATGAACACATCGGACGAAATAGCGTCGGAACTATTAAATTATAGATTTTCCTAATGTCTTTTACATTTATAAATATTGTCTTTTTTGTCCAGGTTAACTAAATAGATTTTTCACATATATACATATAAAGATAGATGATAATGAATAGATAGTGCACAGAATATGGATAGATGAATGATAGGTGATAGATAGATAGATAGATAGATAGATAGATAGATTTTTCACATATATATATATAAACATGGGATAAAGATAGATAAAATGGATAGATATGAATATATGATAGATAGATAGATAGATAGATAGATAGATAGATAGATTTTGATCAATCATATACATATAGATTTGTTATTAGATAAATTAGATAGATAAAAACAATTTTTTGAATGAAAGATAGTAATTAATAGATATGAACTTAGCGGAATTATCCGAAATAAATTTAGATAGATAGATGTGAATTGACTAAAATGATCGATAAAAATTTTACATGATAGAAAAGATTTTCCCAAAACTCTCTACGTGTTAACCTGAAGATTGAGGTATTAAAAAACAAAAACAAAAGTTTTTTTAGCAAATCCGCCCAGTTTTTGTACCAATCATCTGTCTTCGATCTTAGATAAATATTTATTCCTTTTTTTATTTTGATCTATTTCGTTTGTTCTGCAATAAAAAAATTTTTTTTTTTTGAAGCAAATGTGTTTATCCGAAGCAAATTTATTTAGTTTACTAAAAAATGATCGTCAATAAAATTTCTGACATTCCTATATCTTGAAGATTAATTCAAAATTTTTTTAAAGAAATCCGAAACGTTTTTTTTTTTAAATCTGTCTTCTTTTCTTCGCGGGACCCAAAAGGTTATTTGTTTTATAACATTTTCGCAGGGGAAATTCGTTTTTAATTTCTGGCCTTTTTCTCAGTCATTTTTATTCAAAATTAATTTAAAACGTTTTACTTTTGAAAACTTTTCTTAAAACCCAAAAGGGTCCCGTAACAGGCTAAAGGGCATTGCTGGGATTTTTCTCAGTCATTTTTTTTAAATCATACTTTGGCCGTTTATTGAAAAAAAATAATCCATCTTTAAAATTCTTTATTGACAGGCATTTTTATCCCCAGTCAAGGCCGTTTTTTAAACAATAACGTGGATCCATGGTTTCCCACCTGCCATTTATATGTAGAAGGAAAAATTTTAATTTTAAACGACAACCTGTCTAGGAGAAGGAAAACTCAAATTCAAACCGAGGAGAAGCTAACAGAAAACATTCCTAATTATACTCACTGTAAATGGATAGTATTTCATAAATATTAAAGAAAAGGACACTAGAAATTAATATATATATATATATATATATATATATATATATATATATATATATATATATATTCAGTGCTGTTCGATAAAAGTGACTCACCTGATTTTTTTTACTAAATGTTCTCTTCTCCGATGAAACGAAAGTTGAGCTAAATTCAAAGGATAAGCGATCTAAAATCCGAAGAAGAAGCTTTGAAAGCTCTTTGAATTTAGCAGTAAATACTGTCAAGCATCCGTTCAGTATAATGTTCTGGGGATGCTTTTCTTTTCATGGAACTGGTTTCTTAAAACCTATTGAAAAGACCCTCAAGAGCGAACAGTATAAGAGAATTTTAGAGTCTTGTCTGCTCCCTTCTGCTGAAAGGGTGCAAATCGATCCCACCAAGCTTATTTTTATGCAGGATAATGCTCCCTGTCACAAATCAAAATTGATGAAGGAATAATTTGATGAGAAGCAGGTGAGTGTTATGACATGGCCGCTCCAATCTCCTGACCTCAACCCCATAGAAAACTTATGGAGCATGTTGTTCAACTGCTTTCTCTTTATAATGCTCCATAAGTTTTAGATCGCTCATCCTTTGAATTTAGCTCAACCTTCTTTTCATCGGAAAAGAGAACATTTAGTCAAAAAAATCAGGTGAGTCACTTTTATCGAACAACACTGTATATATAGGCATGTCTCATTGTATAAAATAGGACATTATGTCTGCTAAAATCCGTACCTACTCATGAATAACATTCCGTGTACTGTTGTTAAAGGATGAGAGAAATGTGCTATAGCTGTTTAAATTTCTTTTATTTTCATTTTCCAAGTACTTTCGATCTTCTTCCAAGATCATCTTCAGGGGTGCAAGTAGTACAAAACTATGTTTTTCATTAGTACAAGTATTATACAAAGATTATTTGGAAGTTTATTCGTGAAAAAACGGATTCTGTTAAAAATTAGCAGACATAATATCTGTATATATATATATATATATATATATATATATATATATATATATATATATATATATTTGGTAGACTCTCTTATCGTGAACGATAAATGAAAGTCATCATTGGATGGTGCCTTTCCTTGGACATTTATGCATGCTAGCAGGAGCTATTGTGGAGAAAGGAAAGATATATTTCATTTGTGCTTTCTTAAGTCATACTAACCCAGCCTTCCTACAGGCGACAAAGCCACACTGACAGATGAAATTTCTTAATGCAGGATTTTGATGGCGTATTTTTCTAGCAATGTTTCCCGAATATTCAGGCCGGTTAATATAAATAAATATAACGTGTAATAAATAAATAAAAACAGAGAAATTACTCAGATATGCCTTTCCATTTAAAAATAAGGTTTAAACAAATAAATTTAAAAAATGTCGGATTTAATCCATTCCCTAAAAGTTCTCTTTGTTTATGTTATGATCCAAACTGAGCATATATATATATATGTGTGTGTGTGTGTGTGTGTGTGTGTGTGTGTGTGTGTGTTTGTGTGTGTGTGTGTGTGTGTGTGTGTGTGTGTGTGTGTGTGTTTGTGTCTGTGTGTGACGTTTGTGTGTGTATGTGTGTGTGTGCGTGTGCGTAAAATATTAAAAAAACTACACTTCCATGGATATTCTTATGCAAAAGACTGATGTCAGGGCGATTTCTTTCCAAGCGCTTGTCAGTTAATATGGTCTTATCTTCATTTGCTCATTCTCGGCTACAGACAGCGGTGAATGCTATTACCACACAGTTGCCAGTGTATTCTGAGGGCAAGTTTGACATTGAATTTATTAGCCTTTACATTATTTACACTGTTTTCCTGATCTTTATAGTTCACAACGTTTCGCCGTTGTACGCTTTTTCAGCTGATTGTTCCAGTTCCACGTTCCATGCCTCTTTCGGATGCCTCAGTTATCTCCCTTTAAATCAACATTCCAAGTTTTTGTCCACGACGGCCGTCGGCAGAATTAAACTCACATCTCTTTTGGTCAAGTCACAGGACCCAACCAACACATTTATCCACTGGGCCATGTTTACAACGGCCAAAACTTTGTGAACATGACAACAAAGATGATGAAAACAGTCCGAACAATGTAAATAATGTAAATAATTACAATACCTTATCTCAGAAATATAGACAGATTCTGAAGAAGGCCGGGGCGTACAACGGACGAAACGTCCTGAATATGGTAATAAATATGAAAAAAAAACCCAGTCCGAACAATGTAAATAATTTAAAATACCTTATCTCAGAAATATACACATACATTATCATCATTCTTATTAGTATTATTATTTGTTTTATTAGTATTATTAGTAGTTGTATTAGTAATGAGCAATATTTTCAATCATTATTATTGTTGTTGTTTATTTTTTTCTTCCCCAAAGATTTCTTCGATGAATATTTTTTTTATGTCTACTTCTCTTGTTCTTGTATTTTCAGTTTTTGGCTTCTGAAAGATCAAAGGTCAACTATGACATTGATTTCTGTTCCAGTGGCTGCTCACCAAGACAAAAGAAAAAGGGCCGGAAAGACATCTAAAAACAAAGCCCCTACCCATCGTAAAAACGAGATTCTTTTATCGTTGAGTTTTCCATCTTTACCGACAAATTTCGCAGTATCCTTCTCGAAACAAAGTCGAATTACTTTGCAAAGTGCCCATTACAAATGAATATACCTTCGAATAAATGCTGATTATGTTACGGTCGTAGACACAATCGTAGAAGTTTTTAATTTGTTAAGTCACAAACTCCTACAAATTCTTGTGATGCAAAAAACAAAGCAAAGAAAACACCCGTCTCTACTCGGGAAAATATCAGGGTTTTCCTTTTCTCATTTTCTGTTGATCCGTCGTAGTACTCAAGTCAATGATTGCAACATACTTCAACTGTACAACCTAAAATGTAGCTACAACAAACAAAAGTATTAATGCAGGTCATTATTTAGAGAAGAGGGTACAAATGAAAAGCTTGAAAATTGAGAGATTTCCATTTTATTGAAGCAGACGATAAGCTTTCTCTTCTTTCTTTCTTTCTTTCTCATTAATATTTACGCATTCACTTTCTCACTAAAAACAACAGCGACTCTAATATATACCTTTCGGTTATATTTTTAACCATTATCAAGTCATCTACGTGGCAAAAAGGCTAAAAATAATGGAAGCATCTATATAAATGAAGCGCAGTGTACGTGTGTCCGTCCGTCAGTCCCTTTTTCGATCTCGGTGAACCATAAACAACCTGAAGTGACTACTGTTGTTACACGCGATTAAAAATTAGATAAATAACTCATTTAAAGTTAAATTTAAATATCGAACAGAGTGATAAGTTTAAAATTCAATTCTTTATTAAAGGTTGAACTTTAATTTCGCTTTTCGTCGCAACTGTAATTGATATCGACTAATTAAACCGTATTTAAAAATTGAGCGGGGCACGGTACGTTGCTCATATGTTCTTGTTTCTTTTTGTAGCACGCGTACCATGACGTATTCGAAATATTACATAGTTCGGGTCTCCTAATATCTTTTTAAAAGCGACTTTATGTGAAGGGATCATAAAGAATGGTGATTTTAAAAGAAAAGAAAATTTTCGCGCAAAAAAAAATATTAAAAAAACCTCGGACATCGGTTCTGTATACGAAAAAAAATTATGCCGAATTAAGTTGTCGAATAAGGATAAAATAATTTTATGATTTTTAAATACTTATATCTTTTACATCAATAGGAGGCCGAATGTAGAAGGCAAAAGTTCCAAAAGCCTTCTGCAGAAGCTAGTCTAAAGTCCGCCCGAAGGGCAGCTTCTAAGCTAGTTATTAATAAAAAAAGAAAAGTCCAACACTCAATAACATCAACTATGAACACGGCTACATTGCGCTGACAGTGTTTGTAAAATAAAACATTTCTATAAAACTAGATACAGGCATAAGAAATTCATACATACATTTAAAAATAAAAATAAAATCATCCTTGGTAATAGCTGGAAATATAGCCGTAAGCGTTCAAACATACAGAACATTCAGACAATTTATGTCCATAAACGAAGAAAATTATAAGGACACAAGAAAAATTAAATGAAAAAGGACAGGGTTGCTACACATGGAAAAAAATTTCCATAACCGAAAAAACTATTCGTAAACGATAATAATATTTATTCAAATTTATAACATATACAAGTTATAAAATCACTACAAAAGTTACAATTTTGTTTCGACACTTCAGGTGTCTTATCAAGTTATGATGATCACCAGAAGTGTCGAAACAAAATTACAACTTTTGTAGTGATGGTTCTAAACCTTTATAGTATAAATTTGTATATAGATATATATATAATATATATATATATATATATATATATATTTCAATAAAGTCTGACAATTATTTTATGACATTTTTTTATGTTTATACGTTCTTTTTATATATTTAATAAATGCTCTGTTTATAATAAACAGTATTGATGACATTTACCGGCATGAATGTCCGAGAAATTTTCATAGAAAATATGCCTCTTCCGACAGGAATCAAGCCTGTATCCCCTACGGAACCGTCATATTAAATATTTGCATCTAAAAAAAAAAAAACTAGAAACATAAAAAAATGTCTTAAAATAATTGTCGGACTTTGACCATTTCATAATGTGTGACGTCATTTGTTTACATTAGGATACGCATCGAGCAGATATGAATGTACGAGAGAAAATCATGGAGAATTGTAGTTTAAAAACAGTAAAATCGACCTTGCTAACCGAAACGCTCCTCTGTGGCTCAATCGGTAAAGCACATCAGGCTTTATGACAAATAGAAAAATAGGAAAGAATACGTTAGGTAAATAATCCGAAGCCTAACTTATAATTATTTTTAAAAAAAATATGATTCCTTCGCTACGTAAGCGTTCTCATGTTTCAAAAACAGAAGCCAAAATCTTCAATAAAATTATTAAAATTCAAATGAATTAAAGTATCAAGCTCTGTTTCATCCTCAATCGAAATTTTTGGAATCACATATACTTTGGAATCATATATATATATATATATATATATATATATATATATATATAGGAAATATATATGACAAAGTTTAGAAAGATTTTGTGTGGAGCGTTTCATCGGACTAATTTTGTTTGCCTTGATGCGAGTAGAGATGAATGATGACATTTGGGAATCTAAAATTCGAATATTTTTATGTGTTTTCGTTACATAAAATGCTGCTCTAATTAAAAGAGGCAACAATTCAGTGAGAAGAAAATGTATAGAAAGTGCTTTAATCGCCAGACCATCCACACCAAATTTACGTCCATGTTCTCACAAGGCAGAACTTCCATTATCACATTGTGAGATATTTAATTAAAAACAGTGACGGAAACAAGAAAAAGAATCGGAATGAAATAAATTAGATTATAGATCAAAAACACTCATAAAAAAATAAATATTTTTAAATTTAAAACTACTATTGTCTCTTGTTCGGGCGCTTGTGTAGTTGCGTCAACGTAAACAAAACTTAGTTCTTTTAAACAATGCCATTATGCCCAAACCCTCGGTCACGATGACTTGTATCTTCGTGCTAGCAAAATCATTGACGGCTTCTGAACGGTTCTGTCTACACAATTTCACACACTATGTTTGGTTTTACCTATGGTGCTTTTTACAGGCACTTTCCACGTGTGCTACGCGCTGGGAACACACGGACTGGAGGATAAAATAAGGACGTCACCCCTCCCCCCCACTAACAAATCTACCATACATATATAAAAACATTCATATATGTCTCCATACATCAACGATTCCCAACGTGGGGCACATGCCCCATCGGTAGGGCATGGTAATATTTTGGTGGGGGCCTGCGTAAGATGTGCACCCTTCGGCTTACTATACCAACAGAATAAGGGAGCAATTCGAGAATGAGTTATTAACAGTGAATTGTTTTCTAGTGAGCTCAAATTTCCTTTTGCATTATTATTTCATGATTAAAACAATCAAATTATATTACAGAATAAACTTTCATTCAAATATTTTATATTTCTGCCTTTCATTTCTCTATTATATATTTTGGAACTATATATATATTTAAATGTCTTTATGTTTAATTTTTCTCCTTCATGGACGCCATGGTCTTTGGAGGTTCGTTTAAAGACCAAGTTAATGGCCTTTTGAATATGTAAAAATTAAATATTACAAGTGGCAAGAAATCAGAATTTTAGAAATACCAAACTGAAGCATGGCCCAAAATCGGCTGGAAACCATAATCGTACAGTAATAGATAGATAGATAGATAGATAGATAGATAGATAGATAGATAGATAGATAGATATGGACACAATGAACCATAGATAGATAGATAGATAGATAGATAGATAGATAGATAGATAGATAGATATGGACACAATGAACCATAGATAGATAGATAGATAGATAGATAGATAGATAGATAGATAGATGGACACAATGAACCATAGATAGATAGATAGATAGATGGATATGGACACAATGAACCATAGATAGATAGATAGATACCACAATGAACCATAGATAGATAGATAGATAGATAGATAGATATATAGATAGATACATGATGAACCATAGATGGATAGATGATAGATAGATGAATGACAGATAACCATATAGAGATAGATAGATAGATAGATAGATAGATAGATAGATAGATAAACACAATGAACCATAGATAGATATATAGATAGATAAAACTAGATTTTTATATAAAATATAGATAATATAAAATATTTAAGTTTATTTACCTGAACAAATATATATTAAATATATCAAATCGTACTAGTATATATCGATATATCTATCTACACGCACAAACACATATACATCTACGTTCGTGTGTCTCTGTTTTTGGGAATGTCTGAAGTTGTTTTCACCTTTATTATTGTGTATGGGGTTGGGCATCAATCTGTGTTGGGAGGGGTGCTGTTTTTGAGATCATGGGCTTTTTAAGCCTGTTTTCCTTGGGGATGAAATCGAAAGAAAAAAAATCCGTCTATTTGTTGGCGATAACATGTTTACTTGTGTCCAAGTGTTTAAAACACAAATAATCAGTCTGTTATCTGCTTCTACCTTCATTTGTAGGAGCAGGTTTTCAAAAGCCCATTTGGGATAGAAACGGTCTCACAGGAGATAGCCTAGCCACGAGGATTTTACAAGCCTTTCTTCGTTAAACGGGTAAATATGCATTGTCTATTCATATATTTACTTATTTGGATAGAAAAGCGTGTGGGCACCGTTCACAATGCATATATATATATATATATATATATATATATATATATATATATATATATATATATATATGAGAGAGAGAGAGAGAGAGAGAGAAAAAAGGAGGAGGAGGTGGAATAAGATAAAGATTAATAGATAACAAGTAGATACTGAATTCAAATTATATTTGCTTGGTCAAATCTTTGATAAGTAGAAAATAATGACATTAAATATTCTAAATTTAATATTAAAATGATTAACTTTATTCACAAATCTGTCTTTTTTAATATATACATATATATATATATATATACACACATACACACACATATATATATGTATGTATGTATGTAAGTATGCCTGTAATATCAAGTGATAACTGGTAGGGATATATATATATAAATATAGACACACACACAGACATATATATATATATATATATATATATATCCATATGCATGTATACAAACACATATATATTAGGATCCCCATGTATGTACACACATACATATATATATGTATGTGTGGATGTCGATAGATAGATAGATAGTAACTGGCTGAGGTAGATAGATAGATAGACGGAGAGAGATAATGACTTACATTGTCAGTATCGATTAAATTTCGCAGTCTCTTTATCAACATTACTTTTAGTACATGTATACATATATATATATGTGTGTGTGTGTTAGTGAGTGTGTATGTATGCATGCATGTAATTAAGTACACACAGATATATATAGCATGTCTGCGTTTAAATTAATATATATATATATATATATATACGTATGTATGTAGTGATTTTCCAAGCGTAGCTTAGATGTGACACAAGGCCGAAAGTAGGTAAGGGGGCAACTAGTGAGGATCGAACTCACTACTCAGTCGTAATCGTTTTAGCGAGACAAGCTTGCTAACCATTACACCGCCTCGAGATGCCCATGTATGTATGTATATGCATACTACATTGTAAAAGTTTACAGCAACCGGCAGAATTTGTGTGTGATGAATATGACAGAGATGTGAAACTTTTCCATCCAAAAAGTGAAGAAGACCCTTTAGTGTCATTGAAAAAACAATGGAATCAATTGTCAAACTTGTACTTTGAGAAAATTTTGCAACGAATGCCAAAATTTTGTGCTGCAGTAAACAAGGCTAAAGAAGGATGTTTTGACAGGAGCAAAATTTAATCATAAAATGATCTTTTTTTCTTTTTTATAATAATAAAATTTCGAATAAAAAATCATGTCTCCCTATACTTTGACCATGTATAATTTTTTTTCTTATTTAAATTACAAACCAACTACAATTGGGGCCAATTTAAATAATTACCAGATGCGGTTTCAAAATTTGGAACTGTAGTGTATATATTTGTTATTAAGAAATCAGCACTTGTGTTATCAAAAATACATTTCTGAAAATTGAAATATTATATTTATATATATATATAAAGGTATTTTCCTATTTTATATCTTTTATATCTATTTTATTTTTAGTCGAGGCCCGAGCATGAATAGGTGCGTGTATTTTTTTTAAGGTTGAGTTTTACGTATATCAGCCTGAACACGAGTTGAAGCTTAATGAAAAATCAAAATTTAATTAATTAAAAATGAAAAAAATCGTGATTACTTCTAATGATTACATTCATTTTGCTTTCCTGGGTGCCCAGACACGTAGACGTAATACACACAAAAAAAAAAACGCGTCGTCCATTCAAACACGAGTATCAACTACAAATAACGTTTGAATAATATATATATATATATATATATATATATATATATATATAGTAAAAAAAACAAAATTGCCTTATATCGGGAGTTTTTTATCTGTTTCAAGCGACGAAATTACGTCAGTCTTTTTCAACCCCGGTGTATAGACTGTGTCTTTGTTGGAATTATAAATTTAACTTGAACTTTAATTTACACTGTTACATATCTAATTCCAACACGAACACAGTCGATACACCGACATATATCGATATATATATATATATATATATATATATATATATATATATACATAAGACTGACGTAGTTTCGTCGGTTGAACTATATCTATCACCACGAATATGATGTAACTTTGGATTTTGTTGTGTAATGCTATTTATATGCTTCAATACCTTGAACTCTTTTTGTGGATCAGTTTTAATGTTATTTTACTAACTTATATAACAAGGGATTTATTACCTGTACTATATATATATATATATATATATATATATATATATATATATATATATATATTATATACGAAATTCCTTGAAGATGAAACATGCTTTTAATTGAATTATAAAATTAAAGTTGAAGCTTTTAACTTCAGTTTTAGAAACATGTTTATTACTGTGTAACGAAAGTAAAATATTTTAAATCAGTTAATTTATAATATTTATGCTCTGTAAATTACATTGAGCACTGTTTTGTAAAAATAAAAATATCAATAAGGACACCGGATTACATATCTTACTGTTCTTTCTTTTTAC